CTGCTGAAGTATGTTCTGACAAAGTATCTTTGTTTTCCTTTCAGCAAACCCTTGTGAGCTCCACTGTCGCCCAATAGACGGCCATTTTTCAGAGAAGATGCTTGATGCAGTCACTGATGGTACTCCTTGCTTTGAAGGAAGGCACAGCCGAGATATCTGTATTAATGGCATGTGTAAGGTATTGGGTATGTTTGCATGTTTCTTTCTTTACATTTTTTTTTTGTAAAGTTAGGGGAAAATGCTTAACAAATTTTTTTTTTTGAGGATTGAGGCCAGGTGCTCCATTTTATCATATTTTTAATGATCATGGAAAGAAGTTAATAGAAACAGCTTTTCTAAGTAGACATAAGAGTCATTTCTATCTTTTTCTTATGAATCCATTAGACTGCTAATTACTTTTGGTACCTTTGAACTCTTCTCTTCTTCTTTCGTTATTTTAAAATATTAGTTTGAGAAAATTATTTTTTTTAATGAAATGTTTTCACAAAGTATTATAGCTTTAGAATTGTAATTGGTGTCACTACTCTCTGTGGCTTTATTATGAAAATGCAGTTTATTATGCATTTTGTAGTTCTGAACTGGCTTGTAAGAGTTCTCTGCATATTCTGTATGTTGATAGCAGTTTCCAGGATGATGTGTGTGTTTATGACATTTAAAGGTGTGTTCTGTAAATGCCGTAATACCCACAGTGATAGCACTGCTTTTAGTGAATTTCTCACAAATAAAGTGAGTACTTTACTTGAAGAGGATGTATTACAACTACAGTTTATTTCTTGAAACTGGGGATTTGCGTCCTGTACCCCCTTGAATATTTTTTTTTGCTTTTAACATCTTTGGAAATAAAAGCAGAACCTGGTGTCTTGTGGAATCTACATTAGCTTACAGTAGGGAGCTTGGGATTGTATGTCCCAAGCCACTTAATCATATAAAAATGCAGCTAGAAGGCACTTCAAGAAGCCCCCTTTACTGAATCTGGTTCCTATTTCACTTTCGTTTCTTGAAGACTTACAGAGATGGAAACTCCACATTTTTAATAGGTGATTAATATATCTTCTTTGAAGACTTTCTATTTTAGTAGAATGCTAGTGCCTCAGAGAGCAGCAATAAAAGATCTGTTTTAAGCTTTCCTTGCAGGACATGCATTTGTGAAAGGGAGTTGTTACCGAGGCCCTGCTCAGATTTACAGTGAAGAGATTGTGCTTGACTTCACTGAGAGCCAGCATGGGCCTTTTAGCTTTGATTCTGAAAGACCTGACCTGGTCATGAGCAGTTCAAGCCAGTTGGAAACAAATCTTTAGCATATTGATATGGTGCATACCATATCAGTGCTTTTGACCTTCCCTCAGAAGAGGCCAAGGCTGTCTTTGTGGTGTTATGCTTTCATTTTGTGATTTCTAGACCAAATGGACTGGGATCACTATGGTTAATTTTAGCTTCCATATGCTTTCTGTATTCAACCTTGAATGTGACACATCAAATTTATACCCATTTTAGAAATGGCAAAACTCGTCAACGCATCAAAAGCGATAGATCAGAGTTGAAAGGAAAGATAATTTTAATTTCAGTTTGTAGATACTAGATATACTTTAGCATAAATAGTTCTGGGGACTCAAAGCCTTTCAAAAAAATTTCCTTCAAGGTACTGGTGCTACCATAAATACAGTTTTGTCAGCATTTCACATGTTGAGTACTGCTTCACATTTTCTGACAAACAGGTTTAACTGGAGTCAGGATCACAGAGTGAACAATTTAATCATGCAACTGCCACAAATGAGAGGAAATGATGAATAGGTAACCCAGATAGCTCTCATTTCTGAAAGACAGTGTGCTTTCGTCTGAAATAGGTACCCAAGATAACACTTGAGTAGAAGCTTTTTCAAGTATCTCAATATAATACATTAGTATTTTAGTCCAGCTAGTTAAACACAGTACACACATTACAGGACATGATGAATAAATCTGGAAATGCATTTAATGTAATTAGTCTGGTACATCATTCTTGTACTCCGATAGCAACATGTTGCTAATGATGTGAAAAAGGAGTTCACAAAAATTAATAGCAGTGTCTATTAAAGCCCTGTTCTGGTTTTCAGCACTATATCTCACAAAACCACTTCATGTTTGTTCTGAGTACTAAAAGAACACTTAGGTCTGAAATTGAGTGAAAAAATCAAATGGTGGGATGTTATATGTTAGGTTCTCTGTCCATATTGCTCACATGTGTTTGGTGTGCAGAGTAGCTCTTGTTTAACAACCAAGTTCAGAGTTTTCCTAGTGGATATATCAAAACAAGATAGGTAGACTCAGATTCGATCAAGAATTTAATCTCATAAATTCAGCTGATTTGTCTGATTTTGCAGTTTGCCATGGTTTTGGTCAGAGCAATGGGTCTTACCTAGATGGCTAAATGTGGATTGAGATACCTTATATTAGCTACTTGAGGTATACTGAATGCTTTCCCACCCACCTTGGCAAAGCCATAATGTGCATCTTCAGGTAGGAAGTAAGTATGAACAGACGCTAGTGCTGATTCACCTGGCCCTTGCAATTTGTCCAATATATGGGTCCTAATTTTTCAGAAGTGCTACCTATGCCTCAGTGCAGAAGGAAGCCTTATGAGTGACGTGTTGGTATGGTATTCCTTTAGAACTTGCCTCATCAATTCAAGGACAAACTAGAATTGTTAACTCGTCTGAGGACCTGGCATATAAAATAGCTGAGTCCTCTCTCTGCTTTGTGCTTTACATGGAAGAGGAGTTCCCTAAACACATGTAATGCCATTAAATCACTCAGTGCTGGAACTAGTGGCTGCAAAGGGGGATCTCAAAGCTGCATGCCTGCAGTTGCAACCATGTTTTTTCCAGGTGATGCTAATAAGGGGATGAGAGATTCAGTCCCCTTTGCACCTAGCCTAGCCTTCCTTCAGATATCTTCTTAGACCCACTCCTGTCATGATGTCCAACTTATGGACAGCTTTGAGTGGAGGGAGTCAACAAGATCCGTCAGTAATTACATCTAAAATTGTTAAGATATATCATGACTAGTTTGCCATTTAATGATACTCCTCCACACATATCCTTTGGGTGTTACTTTTTTCCCTTTCTTTATAAGATCTTTAAAGCACATATCCTGTCTTCCTGTGTTTGAAATGATACATCACAAGTGGACTTTTAATTCTTATTAGAGCAGTCAGTTGCTCCCCAAAGTTAGTAAGCAAAGATACTGCCACCAGACTATGTTTGTTGAGGATATTGACTGATATATACAAGGCTGAGCAGTTTTGTTAAATACAAGCCATGGCATCATCTAAAAGTGAAGGCTTGTGTGGTGTATGCACTGAGACCATGCAGACACTGAGGATGGAGAACCTGGCATCTGAGCTATTTCTAACAGGCATTCATCTCCCACTCAGAATTTTAATAGGCTTACATGACCTTCAGTCATGCAAATCTGTGAGCTGTTCTCTGTGTCAATCCTCAGTTGTTATCTTGAGAGACTAACACTACTGGAGAATTACACAGCTCCGTAGTACTAGGGAGGAAAGTGGGTTTTTTCTCTTGCTGAAAAGGATATTACACCTCTCAGATTTTTTGTAGCAGCTTTACTACCTCTCACTATTGTTTAGTCTCCTCATCCCTCTGCTAGCCCAACAGGACATTGATTCAGCCCCACCTAGACAAATTATAATAGAAATAAGCACATCATGACACATTTCTTCCCATTCAAGGCAATGGCATGGCCAACGTCACGTGAACATGTTTTCTTTATTTGGAGACCAGTGGGTGAGACAAGACAGAAGGAGGAGCTTAAAAGCACAATGTAGTACCCATGTAGCTTTGATATTCAGGCAGTACATCCAGGCTGTATGCTTCAGCGACAGCAAGTACTTTTTGTATCAGCCCCCCACCCCCACTGCCAATCCAACACAAAAGTCTGTCCTTCTGGAAGTGGCAAAAGGGTAATATCTGTGGCTGTTTTCCTTTTAGTCACTGAGCAGCAGGAAATAAATTGTTTCTCCCTCCTGTAATGCAGCCAGGCACTTCAGGTCATTATTTCTGCCTCCACACTGTGTGGTGGGACCAATAATAAAGGTAGTCTCAGGTGCATCAGAAAGGCCTTTGGTGAATGGGGCAATGGCAAAAGGCTGCACGGAGCGATGCTAATTTGCAATGCACATGCTGTGGCACACAGTGGTTGCTGTAGCACACTGTGTTACACTGGCAGAGGGTGCACAAGGACATACATGTGCAAAAGAATCAGAGCCTAATTGCTGCTGATTTTTTTCTCATTTTAATATCCTGTATTTAGTCTTCAGATCCCTTTTAATGGGCAATTTGGCAGAAATTCGAGGCACAGTATTTAAGGCAGTTTTAGAAAATATGGCTATCTAGAAGAATTGGAAGAATGAGGAAAGCAAGTAAAAGGGAAAAGGAAGCATCTAGAAATGAATCTAATGAATGACAAAAAAATGATTTTCACTGGAGCAGGAAAGTAAAACATGGCCTGGAAATTAAAGTTCATGTAAATGTATTTAGAATGAATGACTGCTGGAGCTCTTTACTTTGATGCATGAGAATATACACTTTGTGATGGTCATTAATGGCCTTGTAAGATGACGACCTGCTGCCAGATGTGAAGGTCACTGCACCACCAGCAGCACCCCAGAGCTAGGGAATATAATGAAGGCTTTATTTACAGTGACACAATAAATTGCCTGCCCTGCCACAGTTGTCTGCAGTGCCTCATTCTTGGGGATCCCTGTACCACACTGTGCCATGTATAGGTAAGACTGTGACGTCTGATCAGATAGAAACTATGTTTCATATATCAGAGGAAAAACAAAATACAGGTTTCTGTGGTTACACAAAGGGTTTCCCTTCATGTCATAGCAATGTCATGTTTTGGATATGTTGCTAAGGGAAATGTATGACCAAGTGGGAAATATCTGAGCCAATTCTGAGTGAGCCGATACAGAGTGTGGCCCATGCAGAGACACTAATTGGCACCCCGAAGGCAGGAGAGCGATGATACCGTGGTGCTGCTACCAGACTCATTTGCTAGTGCCAGTGCAGAAGTTCAGGACTAATTTGTTCAGTATTGGGGGATTTTTACAGTACACAGTACTCACAAGGGAAGTATACTCAGTGATACTCTTTTCAAAGTGTTGGATTGACAGCCTAAACTAGTTAAATTATTTCTGGGTGTAACCACTCAAACAAGCATGAAAAATAAATAAAGATGAACAGAAACCTTTTCAAGAACATGCATTTTCTACTAGAAAATGCTAATTTGGCAAAAAGGATATAATTTGAAGACATGGGTTTTTGTTTTTTTTTTCCCAGAAGTTCAAAAGAGAAGCTCCAAAACACCCGTTTATAATATTTTATAATAGTAAAACACTATTTTCCTTTTCATAGTTTTTAAATTTTTTTTAATAGTAAGACAAAATCTAAAAAATCAAAATTGCAATGAAAAATTTCTGTCAGCCTGAAACATTTTCTCCCCAGCTTTCTGTTTAATAGTGAATGTGTGCATAGAATAGAAAATAAATTTCAACGTGCAGGACTCCACAGAGGGGCTGCTCTGGTCTAATAACAAACCTGATAACAGTGGTCCTACTGTCTGTTTGTAGATGATAACAAATGTACTGATAGTATAGCAAATGTACTGCAGAATTCATATCTTTAAGAAAATAGCTTCACACCTACCTCTTTAAATTCTTAGCAAGTGTTAAATATAAACTGCAGTGTATCCTTAGCTAACAGGTGAAAAGCCAGATCTGAACCCTTGGCAAGATAAAGAATCATCCTGCACTTACCGCAGTGGCGTTTGCTTACTTTGAGTACCTCATTAAATACATCCTTGATCAAATAGCTCTATGCTTGGAGGCAGAAATGTAGTCATGAACATTCTTAGCGTGTGCTTCTCTCTGTAATATCCTGTACCGCTCATAAACATGGTCCTGGGGGCCAAGATATGTCTGTTGTGAAAGACCTTGCAAAACCTTCCCTTTTTTGAAAGTAGCCTTCTCTAAAAGGAGAGAGAAGCTGAGGCTGCTGCAGAACCTTTTGGCATGACCATTGTTTTTCAGAGCAGGTATCAAAAGTATTGGCATTAAGTGGTGGATGAATATTTTTTTCAATCCTCTGTAAAAATACAGGTGACAGGTTTTAACACCATTTGTAACTTGAGGCCTTCCCTTACTTCCATCTTTGCAGCTTCTCTAGCTGTTCATTAAGTCACTGGCACATAGAGGAAAAGTATGGTATTCCTGAGCTGAAAATTATGGAAAATTTTTAGAGAATGAAGGAGCCTTTATACTTAGATTAGTCTATTAGATAGATTTTCCTGTCAGAAGCTTACAGAAGATTACAGTAGCTGATGTACTTAAGGCACAATAAGATCAGAATCAAAAAAAAAAGGGATACCCAGATTTTCATACATCAAGAGGGTGTTAGAAAAGTTGGCAGATATCGCACCTGAAAGCTTATTTTGAGAAAAACTTTACATACCACCAGACTTACGGCTGTTCATCTAAATCACAGGTCTTCAGATGTCTTAGACACTATTAACAACCATTATGTGTTGTACATTGGGTTGTGCTCTGCAACCTTGCTAGTTTTTAAAGAGAGCCAAAAAACACCCCCAAACTAAATTAAGATATTGTTGATGTTTAAAGGAATTAGGGCACAGAATTTTTGGTTTTGGCAAGGAGGAAATTTTGTCCTGACTCAAAATTAATCATTTTTCTGTCACTTTCTTCCTGTAGCAAGCATGAACTGAAAAATCAGTCTTTACTAGAACTTTCTCTTTGACCCATTGCCCTATGCCGGCAAGCTGAAAAAGCAGCTGTCACGGGTATAAAACTTCATGCCTGCTGAAGAGAGGGTTTGTCTGCAGTAGCGGTCCCCCACTGTCTGACTGCCATGAAATGCATGCACAGAGATTTCAGTTCTGTTACTGGATTGTAGGAACACAATCTTCGACATAAGCAAGCAGACAGAAATCCTAGATATATTGGCCTGTCCCAGATGTGGAGGCCATTTGGGTGGCACATGTCCATCTCAAGTAACTGTCTGATCACTACTCTATGTTTCATGGCATGGTGGTGGTTTTGGGTTTTTTTAGCCTTTCTATTAATACACATGAATTTGACCCAGATATAACAATCTCTACTCTTAGTTGGTTTATAGGGGATATACACTCTTCCACAATTGATTCTCCCCCTTCTTGGAAGAGCAGAGTATACTGAAGGCAGTGATACAGGATTTTGAGAATTTAATTCTGGAGACCATGTTTACTCTGAAACTGTTTTTCCTTCTAGACTGTTGGCTGCGATTATGAGATAAATTCCAACGCGACTGAAGACCAGTGTGGAGTTTGCCTGGGAGACGGCTCTGCTTGTCGTACAGTGAAGATGATGTTTAATCAAAGTGAAGGATTTGGTAAAATGGATTCTTTTTTTAAATTCTTCAGTTGGTGAAGTCATTTCTCTACGTAAAAAGGCTTAAGCACTTCTCATTGCTGAGTGATCGATCTGCGTAGGAAGTTGTAAATCGATGTTTCACAGTGAATCATGCTTGTGCCAGGAAGGATCTGTGGTCTGTGCTTTTTAAGTTCACTTCATCTAATAAAAATTATGTCAGAGACCAAGACCCTGTGCAAGTTACAGAGACAATAATAAAACCCAAAATAGCAAGTGCATTTACAAAATGAATGCAGTTCATCACCTTGGAAAACCAGGACCAAATCTCTTGACAGTGTAAAGCACCAAGAAAATGCTGGAGGGAGTGGTTTGGGGATTAATTTCTAAGTGTCATAAATCTGACACCATTGGCTCTGATGACCATGTGCCACCTCCATGCAGAACTTTGCACTTTTGGTTGCTCTGCAGTTTTCTGTGGGATGCCTCTGGCTTGGAAAAGAAAAAAAGTAACTCCCTGCAGGGTTAAGGTGGTCAGCACTTGGAGGACTGAGCCTTTCTTCACTGATGACAGTGAGACATTCAGGCTTCAAGTTGCCTTGTGTGGGATGAATGGGAGCCAAAGAATCTAGAGCAAGGTTTGGGAGACTAAAACCGAATGAGAACCGTGGCGGTGAGTTGGAGATGAAAGACAGCCAGGATGAACAGCTTTGAATGGGGAACCAGGACAGCAGGGGGAGAGGTGACAATACAGGGCACTGGAGAGTGCGCTTAGAGCAAGGTCTGTGGCTGAAGAGCAAACCTGGTGCAGAGATGAGAAGTCTCAAGAGCAATAATTGGTACCATGCTAATGAGGAGGGAAAAACTGTGGGGAGCTTGTGGCATTGGCTGGATTTTGGTTGTTATGGTTTTTTCATAAAATTTTTTCATGAAATATGATTTGTGCTAATAAATTAGATCTGGTTTGATAAGATTTTCCAATGCTTGGGGGAAAAGCACTTTTAATATTTCAAGTATTTTTCTAAACTGTGTCCTTGGATTTGCTTCCCTCTGCTCCACATCCCACAAGTGAACTGCGAAGATGCCTGCAACCATGCAGGAGTGCTCTTTGTATATGTATATGAGACTTGAAAAGGAAAATCTAGAGCTCTCTCTCCCTCAATACTACAGTAAGCCTCCAGCCCCTGATCTTTTGCTTATGCTACTCTGCCTTTGACTATGTGGATTTTCCAAGGCTGAAGATGATGTGAAATTTATTTTCCAAGAACAGTTTCACTAAAAAGGTTCCAGTACTGTAACACATGGGATGATACGTGCCTCTTATTTAAATTAATTTTGTGTTTTATCTTCACTTAGTTTTTTCTTGCCCCAACCTGCAATAAGCCTCACCTACAGATACTGCTGAGGGATATTGAGTATTAAATAAAATTATTTCATTGCTTTCTTTAGATTCAGTAAAAAATGGATTGATACTGCAGATTCTTTCCCTTCTACAGATGTTGACTCCACTGCAGAAAAAAATAAGGAAAAGTGTCAGGAAAAGCAGATGTTGGTGGGCTCTTCAGCTTTTAAGACAATGTATGGATCTCACTGATGTTCACAGGTCTTGAACTGAGAATAGGAAAATGGTTTTGTTCGCAATATCTGACTTCTTTTTGTCTCTGACAAGTACTGTGATTTGCTGTCTTGCAGTACAGATTTATGGCAGAGTGGCTACTGAACTGTTCATGTAAATGTAAAGACTTCAGGCTCAAATTCAGTAACAAAACAACCAAAGCATGCTGCCAGTCACTGACAAGGAAGATACGAGAATTTTTTTCTATGTTTAGTGGTACAGGGAAATACAAAATCAAAGCTAATATATTTTGATTTAAAGCTTTCTTTAGAACCTAAGTCCATCAGGGCCTTTCTTGGGTCTGGTGCTGCAGCAGTGTGCATTCTGTCTGCAAGTTGACTAAGTTGCCAGGTCAGACTAATGAAATGCTAGGAAAGAGTTTTAATAATTCAGCCTTTCACTGCAGGGCAGGGTGATCAGTTTTACCTGCAGTCTTACCTCTTCATGTTCAGAAAGAAAAGTTTTAAATCTGTACTATTACTTGGATTTTCTTTAAAATTCTTTGCCTTTCCTGTGGATGAACAATAGGAATAGTGGTCCAGGGGTTCCCAACACAGCTGCAGGAATGACAGCTTCATCTGTGTAATGGATTCCATTAAAGTTTTGTGACGAAAACAAATCAGAGGTCTGATATGCACAGATGGTCTCAGCTGTTGACACTAATATTAGCAAGTACCTGATCTGCACTTTGTTTTCAGGTAGTTCATTTGAAAATTATTTAAGTTGCTTCAGTTGAACTTTTATGGCAGAATGGTTGCTGCATGAGCACCATATTGAAAAGCAGGGTCTAGGCCTGGGCAAAGAAGTCACAAGCTCTCCTGTTAAGGTAGAAGAAGTCTGCTTTTATTTTAAGGTACAGTATTTAAAAGGGGAAATCCCTGTTCTTATTCATGTTGTTGTGATGGCTGCAAAGGAGTATTATTGTGTACAGCAGAATGTTTGCAAGGTGTGCCACCTATTTTGGAAGGAGAATAAATTGCACTGCTTGATGGGGAAAAAGGTTGGGGTAGAAGAAAGGCTGAGGCATAAGGGACAGGCATTTAGGACTGTGGTACATGAATTGAGTATGGAGTAAATGGATAACAAAAAGAGGGAATGAGGCTGTGGGGATCAGACAAAGGGATCTGCCTGGGAAGTGGAGGAGTGGCTAGGAAAAGGATGGTGGTCAGAAAGATGGGGATTTGTCCTGTTGTCATTAGGGAAAAATGAATTTTCTAGTTTTCAGTAGCAAGGGGAAAATGCTTTTACATTTATGAAAATTAGGAAATGAGAGATTGTACAACAAGGCTGGTGGTGTCTTACTCTGCCAGTCAGAAGGCAAAATCAGGTGCGTGTCACTCCTGTGAAGGGCAGAATTTTAGCAAAGCGATGGGCAAACAAGGAAACTGTGGCTGTGCTCACACTAACCTGAAGGTTTATCCTGGTTCCGTTATCTCCTGACCAACTTGGCTGGGGCTGTATCGACACGTGCCACGGTCTCCTTGCTACCCATTTCCTTTTCATGCAACCAAAGTGCAGACAGATCTGGTGTGTGCCTGAACCTAGCCTCAGGATGGAGTCTGGACATAACCATGATGCAAACAGGGATCTGAGAGACTGGAAAGTCTCCTGGATCCTCACTTAGGAGACTATATCTGGACAATAATTTTTTTTCCCATTTCCATCACACACTACAGTTCTCCCCCTATTCCGTGAGAAGGCTGTATGCAATCGTACATTGACTTGCAAATCCGATATGCCACTGGGAGCCTGTGCTATTTTACACATAATGTTCTTGTGGTAGTGCCTAGAGCCTGGCTTAGAGAAAAGTCGTGCCTCAGGAGCATACATTTTTAAGAGAGAGAAGCTCACAGATATGACAAACTGGAGAGTGGGATGCGAGCTGTTGTGATAAGAAGAAATAGCTAGATCTGATTATCATCTGATCTGCAATACTGTGCTAACCACCTCAGTGTAATTACTTCTCTCTCACCACAATGGGAAAACAGAAGCAAGCTCTTCATTCCTGGTAGAACCGTGCCTACCACAAGGGTTGCATGAATTTATTCATGTTGTACTCTCATCCATGTTTAGGTGAATATAGATTTAATTTTAATTAAAAAGGGAAAGATTAATAGCATATGAGAGTTGCCATTTCACAGGTGTGTGGGAGCACCCATGATATGGATGCTCCAGGATTTAATGAACACAGTGTGCAGGTTAGACAGCTGACATTTTCACTGTTATTGAATCTCAGATCCTTAGATCCTTATCAGATGAAACCATATAACCAGGAACAATTATATAAACACCATCCACATAATTTTTAAACAAAAATTTATTATGTTGAGTGACAACCTCAAAAGCTTGCTGCTGTTTAGCTTTGCTTTCAAGGCAGATAACATTCATTGGGAATTAGTGTGAGGTTCTGGGAAATCAGGAGGTAATTTAGCTATTCAAAAAAGGGAGGGCTGGGAATGTGATACATTGACCAAATGGTGACATCTATCACCAGACAGTTGCAGTATGTTTAAAATCAGGTTTATGAGCAACAGCAGGTAATATAGACAAATAATTATGCAAAAACCTGAGAGGATACAGATTTTTATGTTACACCAGTAAGAAAATGATCGTTTATTGGTTTTATACTTTGTGTTTTGAACAAATGTTATTTTAATTACATTTGAAAAGAAACTACTGGAAAAGGACACCAAGGTTGCAAAGCCAAGCTCTCAGGACATGACACAATTAAGATTTTCCATGCTGTGTTAATTTGGCCCACTTGCGAGTATGCCTTCTAATCAAGTCTTTACTTACACAATCACACACTGTGTTGATAACACTTCTCTACGCTGAATGAATAGAACATTTGGGAGAATCATTAGACCTGGGTTACTTCTAATAGACCTAGGCTGCTGGTTTTCTATAATAGAAGTTATTGAGTAATCCTCCAGATTTTGTTATTCCCTTCACTTACAAAAAACTGAAAAGTTTGAATTTGCACAGTCAGTCTAGGAAACTTGGAAAAGGCAATAACCAGAAAACTCCCCCTGCTGAATGTTATTCACAGGAAAAAAATATATGGCATTTAATTTGGAAAGGCCTGAAGGCCTTTTTTTGTACCATAACCAACATAAGACATTAAAACCAGTATTTACAACCCCACAAGAGAGCTGCAAAGAAAATTCAGATGTCAGAGGCTTTGGGACATGTATTTACAACAGTAGGTTGTTGTAGAGCATGTAAGTACTTCTGATAGGTGGAGAGCATTGATACTGAAGATCACCTAGTATGCCCAGTCTGGTTTATCTCACTCATGTGAGTGAGTAATCAAAGGTGATAAACTTATTTCACAAGAAAGGTGAGTGGGATGTGAATCTCAGAATTTAATTCATTACCTCAGCAGTGTTTGATGAGAGCTGAGGAGCGTGTATGTTCCAATCTTGAAGTAAACCATCAGAAACTGCAGCTCATGCTCCCAGGGCACCTGCTTGTAGAGCTGTAATCCATCCAATTTCTAAAGCCCATCCAGGAGCAATAGCAAGAAAGCTATCTGAGTTTGTGTTCAAATTTCTATGTGAACTTCCTATTTTTACAGTTTTTATTCAGTAGCAATAGCAGTTCCCTGTAAGGTGAGAAGCATGGAGTCTGATGTCATATATTGCCTGTGGTGCAAACAAAATTCTGTAATAGATATGCTGGATTCATTCTTAACACACATACCAAAAATTATTTTTTTACAGATAACTTATACATGAAGAGCTGTTGAATGTTCTTATGAAAATTAGTAGTTGATAAAAATATGTTCAGCTGATCATGGTAATTTGAGGCATTTGAATGATGTTCAGTGTTTTGTAGCAAGGCTGTCTATGGGAAACAGCCATGGAGAATAAGTGACCTAAGAGAAGGTACATGGAATTATGTACCTACCTGTACATTGATGACAGATGAAAACTTTCCTTGCAAATTGAGAAGACCTTTACCACCACAGGCAGTTAACTTGCTGGGGATCCCTGGCATTTCTCCGGAGTGCTCATGTTGCAGTATGCCACAGCCCTTGGGTATGGTTGTGGAGATGGTGATGTTCATCTGTGGAGTAGATTTCGCCTGGCACAGCTCAGAGAAGCATTCACCTCCATAACCCTCCTAAATGCCACAACACATACTCGTATTTCCCAACTGATGCTGCAAAACCTGATTTGGAAAGTCACACTATTAACTGACTGAAATACAAGGTCTGTGATAGAACATTTGTATGTATTTGCCAGAAAAGCTGATGTTTTAATAGTCTTATACAGTAAAACGCAGTGACATTTTTGTTGTTCATCTCCACAAACCTTTCTTGTCTCTTAGGATACGTTGATATTGGCCTAATTCCGAAAGGTGCGAGGGGAATCAAAGTCATGGAAGTTGCAGAAGCAGGAAATTTCCTTGCTGTACGAAGCAAAGATCCAGGAAAATATTACCTGAATGGAGGCTTTATCATCCAGTGGAATGGTGAATACAAAGTGGCAGGAACGATATTTCAGTATGACAGAACAGGGGATCTAGAAAATCTGACTGCTCCAGGACCCACCAATGAATCAATATGGATTCAGGTAAACAGATCACTAGCAGAACCTGCTGGGTTTGGATGGCAGCAGAATGTGCTGGGGCTGTGATACTGAGGCTGGAAAAATATGTATATTTTTATATAAACTACTCCATTAGCATTCTTTCTTGCAAAAATCAGTTGAGCTATTTTGGAGAGAAATAAACACCTTGCTTGAGGGGGTTGTTCATCCTGCATGAAAATAGATGTCCAGTGTCATAGTCCGATGATTATCAAAGGCTGGTATAATCAGGTGCTGCCACTAGGATAGGGATCCTTCCACCTGTAGTTGGTCAGTCCTTTGCCTAAACTTCCCTGTCTCTTGTGCCAGCTTAGACCAACACGTGGCTGTGATGTGGACTAGACACAGATGAAAAGTAACTGTTTATCGCAAAAAAGGAGCTGACGTCAGGCTGTGAACAGTGAGAGCTAGGGAAGGCTGACAGTTTACAATGAGCGAGAAAATACAGCATTAGGTAGATGGATTAATAGCATATAGGGAGTGAAATGGATCCAATTAGCATCTGCTGAGGTTGCTCCCTTTTGTTTCTTTTATGTTGCTTTATAGATTCTAACTTAAACATAATCAGCTTCTGATAATTCTGCAAAAAATAGTTTTCAATTGCCTCTTTTTTCTCTGTATGTTTTTTTTCCTGGCTTGTTTGTCTGTATATCTACCATGCAACTAAAAGAAGTATTAGGGGTGTGATGGGAGCCACTTTCACACTTTGAATGTCTGGTGAGAAGGCACATCTAATGGGTGCTCAACCTTCATTGTCAGAAACAAGGTCAAGGAAACAATTAGGAGGAAGAGTAGATGTTCATTGCTGAAGTATTTTATCCCTTGATGATGTTTTTCTTTTCTCCCTCTCATCAGCCAAACAGTACATTTCTTGAGTGGCTCTTCTCAATTGGAATTTTCCTTCTTAATCCAGAAACACTGAAAAGTCATATTAAGGCAGTATCTGAATGAAGTCTGTAATTTTCTGACCTACTGGTGGTTTTGTAACAGCTATTTCATATGGGTAGGGAAATTATCATTTATAATGGTGATGGGCAATAGTTCTTAATCAGCAGCACATTTGATAGTGCCTTGGACTTTGCATTATATTTTCTTACAGTCAATAGGATACCAATTGTGCTGACCCACTTACCCCCACCTGTGCTTGCAAAAGTGCACAGCAAACAACTGTGTCTTAGAAAGATAGGCGTGCACTACTGTCGGTGCACAAATGGAAGTTTTGGCCATCTGCTTCTCTGAACTGGTAGTAGGCTACAAAATGGACTACTGTAAACCTTGCTGATTCTTCTGTTTTCACACTTGGAAAACTTCATGCCAGTCGATTATTAAAATCATAAGTACTTAAATAAACAACACTCTTTTTCCAGCTACTTTTTCAGGAAACAAACCCTGGAATCAAGTATGAATATACTGTACGTAAAGACGAAAGTCATGAGAACGAGATTGGAGAGCCAGAGTATTTTTGGCAATATGGAGACTGGACAGCCTGCAGTGTTACCTGTGGAAGAGGTAATTCCTCACTTCCTTGTTCTATTACTGTGTGGTGGGTTGACCCTGGCTGGAGACCAGGTGCCCACCAGAGCCACTCTATCACTGCCCTCCTCAGCTGGACAGGGGAGAAGAGGTATAACGAAACGTTTGTGAGTCGAGATAAGGACAGGGGGAGATCACTCTCCAATTATTGTCACGGGCAAAACAGACTGAATTTAGAGAAAAATTCATCTAATTTATTACCAAGCAAAACACAGTAGAGTAATGAGAAATAAAACTAAATCTTAAAACACCTCCCCCCTCCCCTCCCTTCTTCCTGGGCTCAGCTTCACTCCTGATTTCTCTCCCTTCTCCCTGCCAGAAGCACAGGGGGACGGGGAATGGGGGTTGTGGTCTGTTCATCACACGTTGTCTCTGCCTCTCCTTCCTCCTCAGGGGGAGGACTCCTCACACTCTGCCCCTGCTCCAGCATG